AGAGAGAGAGAGAGAGAGAGAGAGAGAGAGAGAGAGAGAGAGAGAGAGAGAGAGAGAGAGCGAGAGAGAGAGCAGACCGCGCGCAGTTCGTCTGTGAGTGGTGAGTCGAGAGCACGGGGAAAGCGCGATCACGCTGCTTGCTAAGTGCCCCGTCAGCACCGATTGCACGCTGCGATCGCGATGGATTGCGGGCCGAGACGCGGATATTTGCACGAGATTGCCGCCGTCTAGTTGGCCGTAGTCTGCTAGCGGCGACGCTGCCGCTTTGTATACGAGCCAAACGCGCGCGCGGTCCGCGAGAGACTAGTTAGGCTCATTTGAGAACTGCCGCTAACCCCGCGAGCATTGGCATTTCGTGCCCGCAGATATAGCGACCTTGGTGCTGTTGACGGCACTACACAGCCTCCGTACCTCTTCGTCGCATCGCTCACTCTTACAGGCGCCAATCCATCCCTGCGAAATTCATCCATCGATCTATATATCGATTAATTGATAAATTCATCGGCAAATTAATGCTGCGACAGGATTTTGCGCGTCTGCTGGTGTTCTTGCCGCGTCGTTAAGCCTCACCGCCGCGCGTGCCGATCGTCTGTCCGTCACAGCAGCAGCAGAGTGGCAGCGCCGATGCCTGCACGCCAGCCGTCGGCATGAGGAGCTTCATCATATTAGCGACGATTGTGCAATGCATCATCGTACTGCCGCTCTTCGTCTCGGCGGAAACGCGAGCCGACGGAGATGCAATGATACGCGGAGATCCGATATTCGGTGACGACGGCGACGACTTCTTACTGACGGCAGGTTTCGCCGCGCCGCCGCAGCACGCCGTAAAGAAGGCGGACAAGGTGAGCAGTGGGTTCTACTCTAACACGTGTCTGACGTACAGTTGGATCCGACTCTTTTTCATATTGCTTTTAATTCATCGTTCTACTTATATAAGCTTATATAGCGCGTTGAGTTTTGCGTACTCGTGCGTGTACACATAGCGCAATGAATAACCGAGCTCTGCACAGACTGTAAAGACATCAGTAACCAAGATCATATGTTCACCCTGATAGAAAGAGTGTGATAAAGGTCCAGGTAGAAGGGATGGATATACATGCAGGAAGACATAGAGAGGCAGATTGAGCGAGAGAGAAGGGGAAAGAATAGGGATTGCAATCGAGGGACGTAGAGAAAGAAAGATAGAAGGAGAACGAGGACAAGGAATGGCGATGATTTGAGAAAGTGAAAAAAGCTTGAAAATTAATTGCTCTCGAAATTAATGGATGGATAGCTGGATTGTATGGTGTAGAGAGAGACACGCGGACGGGCGGCCGCATGGGAGCATCGGACGCGCGAGATATCCATACATAATAAATAGAATTAGCGAGAGATAATTGAATAAATAAGCAGAATGAAGCCCTCACCAACAGACATCAGAAAAAGATGCAAGCAAGTTGCCGACGAGCAACAAATATTGCGTGCGTACGTGGGTATGCGTGCATATATCAGCGATGGGTAATGCGTTGGTTAGATGACGATAACCAAATTGATACCAGCGTTGTAGTCGCTCTTATAATACATTTTCGAAAACATTTCAATTCTACCATTCCTTTTTTTTCCTTTTCGATTGCCATTTTCCCCTTTGTCTCTCGTTCTCTTTTTCATGCTCTCTCGCTCTCCCCCTTTCTCTTTCTCTCTCTGTCTGTCTCTTTCTCTCTCCCACACGCTCTTCTCCTGTATGTGTGTCTCGCTCTCTCTCTGTGCCTCTGTGTGACGCTGTCTCTCTGTCTCTCTTCCCTCTCCTCTCTCTCACCATCTATATGTCTGTCTCTCTGTCTATCTGCCTCTGTTTCTATCATTCGCTCACTCTATATCTCTCTCGCTCGATCACGCTCTCTCTCTCTCTCTCTCTCTGTCTCCATCTCCCTTTCCCTTTCTCCATTTATCTGTCTCTTTCTCGCTCGCTTACTCGCTCTATATCTCGCTCACTCGCTCTCGTTCTCTCTAGATCTCCTTCCGACTGTCTGTCTCCATCAGAGCAGCTATATTATACTATATCAAGACCACTCATTGTAATCGTATACATCGCGATGATAGAATCCCGGGCAGTGAACCTCGCGTCTTCAATTATCCCCCCGCGCGCACGCACGCGCGCGCACACGCGCGCACACACACGCGCACACTTTCACCGCATCCATATTTCGAAATTCTAAAATTCGCGTCGTCGCGTCGCTGCGGCGTATAGTTTACTTAATACCGCCTCGTTGGCTCGGCCCTATTTACTCTCTACGCGAGTCTTTATAAAACACACTGGCGCCGATTGGCATTGCCTTTCCTGTGTCCCGCTGCGCCGGAGAGCGCCGTGGCTTGTCTATGCGCACACTATCACGGTTTGTTTGTGCTCGTAATGGCAGACGCTTCGCCGAATCGCAGTGCGGTAGCGCGCGAACGCGAGATTACAGGACCGGCGGCTAAGTTTCAGCGACGACTTGATTGGCTCCATCCGATCGGGAAAAAGGAAACAACGAACGTAAATAAATAGAACGGATGGGAGGCCGGGAGACGCATTGCCGGCGAACTCAACTTCCAGATGAGTGCGGGTGCGAGGAAGCCAGGAAGCAAATGAGTTAGATGAGCGAGAAAATATAGAGACATGAGCGGGAAGCGAGGAAGCGAAAGAGCCAGATGAGCGGGAAAATGGAAAACCAGATAAAAAAAAGGTCGACGTGCTGAAAGCGTGAAGGTTTATACAGACCCAACGGTAATAAATTAAAGTTACGGACGGAATCACATCATTATAGGTTCTATATTAGGTTTGGAAAAACATATATATATATATATATATAAACATATGTGTGAAGCCGTTGCGCTAACGAGTAAATTTGGCATCCTGTGAGACACACTAACTGTCTGCATGCTGAGGAGATTGTATATTATATATATATATTATATATTATATATATATAGAGGAGAGAGAGAGAGAGAGACGGAGAGAGAGAGAGAGAGAGAGAGACGAGAAAGAGAGACGAGAGAAAGAAGAAGATAGATAGTATAGGTAGATAGACTAGATAGAATAGATAGATAGATTAGATTAGATAGATTAGATAGATAGATAGATAGATAGAATAGATAGATAGATAGATAGATAGATAGCATGATAGATAGATAGATAGATAGATAGATAGATAGATAGATAGATAGATAGAATAGATAGATAGATAGATAGAATAAATAGATAGATAGATAGATAGATAGATAGATAGATAGATAGATAGATAGATAGATAGATAGATAGATAGATAGATAGATAGATAAATAGATAGACAGATAGAGATATAGTTTTGTTTCATAAGCTATTACACTTCAACCCCATCGTAATCGTGGTTTACACATAGCGTGATAAATATGCATACACGCATGAGGCGTACCCATGCACAGTGACAGGGCACAGTACACTATTTACTTGTTACTATGTTGTATTCTATGCTTTCCGCAAACAACAACAACAATAACAGCAAGAGCGCGAAGGTGGACGCAATGCGAACGACTGCTATGGTAATTGTTTAATGTATATAATAATTAATCGTTATCAAATTGTACGTAATTAATTTGTATTTTACGCGCGCGGGTGTTTTTGATTCGCGAGAGCGACCGGGTAATATTCAGACGGAGAAGGTCAGTGGCAAATGAACTCCAGCCTCCGAGCACAGCGGCATGTTAGAAATGTTGAGAAGAATCTTTCATCAGCAGCACTATACTCCGCGAAACGAAACATGGTCAGCATGAGGTCAACATGCAGAGCATGCATGTCTTTACTACTATAACAATGCGCGGTGACTATATGCATTTCAAATACGTTGGTCTTGTAGATATCTAGCCAGAACTTAAAAGAGCGAATAGCTCAGCATGCGTAACACAGCGACGTGTGTGTTATGCAAACTCACCATTTGAATAAATAATAACATAGTGTACTCTACAGGGGCCTTATAGCTTTAGAATGACGAATCACTAACCACATGCATGCGAACCGGTCCCCGCCCCTCATTACTATGGCATGTCCGCAAACCATCAGGAAACGCTGGTTTACTTGTCAGCAAGCAATGCGGGACACTGTGTAACAATATCGCTCGCTGCATGTAAACGTGGCTAGAATTGCCTATTTGCACTTACGTGAAGCGGTTCGTTAGTTATAATAATACATAGCGCCATATTGTTTGCATCGGCGCTCAGAGAAGGCTTCGCGCAAGATATATGGTCCGGCAAAATCTGTTTAAAATGGACTAAATTTCTATTAATAGTACCAGGTGTCAGAGAGACTAATGCGAATGATGTTATACTGTCTCGCTGAAACACGTGCGTCTTTTAAGTAGTCTCGAATGGTCTGTGCATTTTCGTATGTAGTCATAAATTCATGATGAATAATGTGCGTAAACAGATCAGAGCATCCACTGAATTTTATTGGCCGGAATTTTCATAGCGACACCGAACGCACACGGGAGCACTACAGCCTGTAGAAATCGGCATTAAAAGATATAGAGCCAACTACATCGACAATCACTTGGGTCCCAACGCAATACAAATGCGAATGTTTGCCAAATATATGGCACTAAGAAATAGTACTTAGAATATTAGCTCATTAGAATATACCGAACTGCTGAATCCCGTTCCCTTTCGCGACAGCGGTGCCGCTGTATTTCCTCCCAACGCAGAGCGAGGCCTTAAATATATTGATGAATATGTTAACCGCAGGAACGCAGCGGGCACGCAGCAGTAGTTTAATTATATATACATGATTCCCAGCGTATACATATGTAAGTAGTCCGTGTGACAGCGGGCGGCAAAACCGCCGCTGGCTACCGCGATCTAACGCCGCGTCGAAGTTCATCATGGGCCCATGTTATTCACGTAAGTAGGCCTACATTGCTAGGCAATAAAGGCAATGCTGTCTTCGTGGTTATACGTGTTCCGTCGACAGATCAATTCGTGAGATTCCATCATTCCAGTATGACTGGTAGTACGTACTGTCACACCTGACGAAGGCAGCAGGCTGTTGTTATGTCGGCAGCCGTGCACTGTGAGACAGCAGCGTAGTCGGTAGCACATTTACACACACACATGACGGAGGCGCGAGCCCGGGCCCCCACTCAGTGTTATTTAGGGTACGCATATGCTCGTTCCCTCCCTTTGAAAGCACCCACCTATCTCAGGACTGCCAAAATTTCCGAACCTCCCTTTCGCGGGCTTTTTGCGGGTTTTTCCTGTCTTGGAGACCCCCTTAAATCCGAAATAATTGAGCTTTCAAAACTAGCAGGAATTTCAGGAATTTGATCCCGGGATTTGATAAAGTTTTTTTATGATATTCAAGATAAAAGAGCGAGAAAAAAAACACCCCCTTTTTAAAGAAATCTCCGGGTGAAAAGTCAAATACACCCCCTTTTTTACAATTCTTGGGCCGGATTTTGTCGCGCGAAAAATACCCCTTTACCGGAGATTTTGGGAACGCGCATGCGGTCCCTCCGACCTCGGAGTGGGGGGCCCGGGGGCGCGAGCGCGGGAACGACGGACAGTAGCAGTTGCAAATCGCGTGAAAAATGCGCGCACATCTCTGCCTATTGACTATTGGCACGCGTTGCACATATACGTGTTTTGTCAGTATTCTATATAAATCACTACTCGTGAGAGGGGGAGGATTTCTAAGACCTCACACCCACTCAACCGTATTTGTATCTCTTTTGAATATTGGATGATGGAATTGCAGCCGAATCAGTTGCCTGGTGCGCCATCTGGCGTTAAAGTCGACCCGCAGGGCAGTTGGCTAAACTTTGTGCGTCATTCGTCGGCCAGCCAAGCTCGAAGAAAGAGGAAACATAAGAAAAAGAAGGTCCTGGTAAGGCATCGATATAGCTGCGATCCCATATAATGTAAGGATTTAATGTACGGAAATAATATTGATTGAATTCTCCCGCGTGAAAGTGTACTGATTCTCTTCAAAAATCTAGTTCATAAAATATTTTTAAATACATGCAGTATACGTGTAAGCGACACCAATGGGATACTTCAACGTAGCGATTATGTGTTTCTGTGATAATGTTAGAGGGGTGGCCGTGGTCCCACCGGCCCAAGAGGACCGCGCGGACCAGCCGGACCTCCCGGAGCAGAAGTGACGTCAGATGAACTGATGGTGGAGTTCAGACAAATGGTCAAGGAGGCGGCGGAGCGACGAGCGCAGAGATTATTGGCAGAAAAAGTAACGACAAATTTACAAACGTAACGACTTCATGCCAAGGCGTTATGCACACTCTGTTAGACGCATGCGCAATCAGGCAATCGCACAGACACTCACTTGCGCACGCGCGCACACATGCACACACACACACGCGCGCGCGCACGCACGCACGCACGCACGCACGCACGCACGCACGCACGCACGCACGCACGCACGCACGCACGCACGCACACACGCACGCACGCACACACACACACACATACACACACACACACACACACACACACACACACGAATACTGCACACGAATGCTATCAATGTTGAAGGGAATATATCTTGAACATTTCATTTTATGTTCTCGTAACTTTTTTTCAGTGTCAAAATAGTGTTCTGAATGGTACTAAACTACTCACAAGCATGAGGAACTGCAACAACAAGGAGCCGGTCGAAACGACTGCATTCAGACACCGTCTGCAAAACAATGTCTATGTGAAAAAACGATCCACTGTCGAACTCTCAAGCTACCACATTGTAAGTGATTTTCAACACTTTTGCGCATGCCTAGGTTCTGCGCAATTATAAGCTTTCAATTTTATCACTCAGGTTAATATACGAATACATCTGCAATACAACTGCAATAATAAACAGAGATTTTTCTTTTGAAGCTTGACAATTGATATCGTACGTGCTGAGTCAAAATCGTATTTTAACTGGCTACGGCTAAGAATAAAACGTATATTTCAGCAGGAGTGAATAAAAAAACACATTCGCTTTTATTCACCCCTGATATCAGTGTACTATAGCAGCTAAACCTAAAATGCCGCAAATGGCGATAATCCTTCTGCTTACGTTAACTACGTAACGTAAGCTAACTAAATAATATAGCTAATATAAGTCCAGCGTGCATTTTCGCGCACAGGCGTTCGGGAGCGGGGAATTTGAGAGTGGAATCGGAATGGACCCGCGATCCGGTAGGTTCACAGCGCCATCTACGGGAATATACGAATTTGTGGCCAACATCGACATACTGAATAGAAAGCCGTCGGTGAAGCAGAAGGAGGCGAGAAACAGTGACAACGTACAGCTGATGATCTGCATAGACGCCGTCTGCCGGGGAAACGGGTAATATATAATATAACTAGTGACGAGAAATGTTAAAGAAATGAAAGATAAAAACACATAATATATACGTGTTTGCGTGCGTGCGGACGTCAGTGCGTTTGAATGCGTGCTTTCGTGTGCGCGAGGGCGCGCCCGAAATAAAAATTTGTACGAAGACGAAAATAATCGTTTTGGCGATAGTAGTGTCCTAATCTAGTGATCTCCCTCCCCCACTCCACCCGTCTCTCTCACCTCTCTCTCTCTCTCTATCTCTCTCTATCTCTCTCTCTCTCTCCCTTTCTTTCTCCCTCTCGGTCTCTGTCTGCCTATATACTTTTCTGTCTGTCTGTCGTCTGTTTATCCATTCACCCATCCATACTTTCGTCTATCCACCTCTGTCTGTCTGTCTGTTTCTTTCTTTATGTATATATATATATATACTCATTTTCCCTTTTCCCCAATATCTTACCTGCCGGTTTAACGTGTTTTTTCTTAGCTCCGTCAAACATATCACAGGACTGGGAACGAACAGTCGCGTCTTCACGATTCACGTTACCGGAATTCTGCGATTAGAGGTACCGCACTGCGATATTGAGCTCAAGCCGCTCCACTAGCGACGTCTACATGTGACACATAATCCATACGTCATGTAACGTGTGCGCGAAATTCAGTATATCAGGATTCAACGTCATGAGTAGAAATTCGTAGATAATTAGATATACACTACTTTTAGATACCCTATCAAGTCTGGTATATTAATTTTCTGGTTGTAAAAGTATAGGTTTGCAATAGAAAAATAGATTACAACAAAAAATAACTATACAAAAAAATTCCTAAAATGATATATAATTAAATACAGCAAAAATAATACGAAATATTAAAACATAATAAATACAGTTATGTTATCATGAGTATAAAGAACTGTTATTTAAATGATCTAAAATGCGTTGGAAACAACGACGACGAGAGCGAGCGGAGAAGACCTATACGTTGTGGCTGTCGCTCCCGTTACAGGCTGGTCAATTCGTCTCCGTATTCGTGGAGAACGACTCGAGATGGACGGTGACTGTGCGCGCCGACTCCCACTTCAGCGGGGTCCTACTCGCCTCGTGAACACGTGACACCCGCCGAGAGACACGTGACAATAATGGCGGCGACAAAAGAAGCCACAGACAGATAAGGCTGAGAGCCGAGCCGTGCACGTGGCGCACACATCTCTTTCGTCTTCATATATACGTCGTGTCAGTTTGTAAATGATAATATATAAATATGTATGTAACGATATATATATGATTATATATAACTACATAGGTCGTAGATCTCGCCTTACAGACGCTGGTCTTCCTGGTATATAAGCTTGCACGTATATTTTGTTGTTATTGTTTTTGTCATGCGACATTAATCATGATATATAGAAGGATAAATAATGAGGATAATAAGGATAAATAATCTCGAATCAATCTCAGTATCTCTTTGATATATATATTTATATATATATATATATATATATATATATATATATATATATATATATATATCACTGTAGACTAAACGTCATATCTAGTATTCATCAGTGATTTCATGATGTATTCAACATTATAATCTATTATTATCGATCACCGCTCGATAAACTAGACTTAATTAAACATAATTAACAAGTAATGACTGTCATTCGATTGTAGGCAAGCAATTTATATATGGGCAGCCATATATAATTGGCTAATATAAATACGAAACATAGCTCTAATCCCAATGGGAGGCTATGCTCCTGTTTCCGTAGAGATTAGCTTGTAGGCATGGACTGTAATTAACTTTGTATTTGGCAATGTCAATGCAGCTGGCAGAAGTAAGGTGAGTTATATTGAAAACTTGACCAGCAACAAATTACAAATAAAAGATAGCTATGTATAGATCTGTACCAATAACATCAGAAAAATGAAACGTTTTTCCATCTACATTATTTATTTAACAGTTCAGTACCTAAAGAACAAATCATTACACCTGATGATGATATAGGGGTACAACATTGTGCGAGTCTGTCTGAGCTTGGGATGATATATGTATATATATATGCACCCCAGTTTTTCTACTACAAATCCACCTTGCTGCAGTTGGTGCTGCCACTAGCCATAACAATAAACTACATCACTACAATGGTGAAACAACATTGGCATTGGGTCATCACATTAACAGCCGTATATATATAACTTCGAAATTTTAACAACTAAAACAGTGTAAACTACAATTTGCCCCCGGACGACGGCGTGGTAATAACTGTGGCAAAACGATGATGATGATGCCGAATTGTGGCCTAGATTATGGAATTTTCATCACCATCCACGATGTTAACGTGACGCTTGACATTTGGATTAACGTCAGCGAACGCACGGCGTGTTAGCACGAAGGGGTATCTGCACACAAACCATCCATCATGTCTGTCACGAGAGTGAGAGAAAGCAACTCGGCCATCTGGCAGTGACGATATAACTACAAAGAATATAGTGCGGCATTGCACGGATTGGCAAAAAGACAGTACACGTTCTTGATCTACTTGGTAGCCTATCGTTTCCACACTAGGACCTTATACCTACGCACGGGACGTCTACCCAAGTGAATACTGAACACATGTACATCAATAAATACATCTCAATGATATATATATATATATATATATATATATATATATATATATATATATATATATATATATATATATATTCACACACACACGTATGTGTGGGCACGGCGCATACACCATACGCATCCTACAAATCTCTAGTCACTACTACCACTCTACGCTATAATCACATTGTCACAATAATTGGCTTCCTAACTTCCAAACGGTTATTATGGTTACATTACTTATCGACCACTAGATGGCGCTGGCTACACTGTGCAGTCACACGCGATATCATGCTACGAACGCGTCTATACTTGGTGGAGAGTGCAGCAAGTCGATATGACAGTACTGGCGACGTTGATGCTTCGCGTTCTCTGTCGGGCAGCACCTGCGATGATGAGGCACCTGGCAGCACTACTAATGCACTGGGAGCAGCACGCAACGACTATGACTGAAGCAACCAATTGTCACCTCCGCGATGCTCGTCGGCGCGTGATGCGAAGGTAGCCACTTTGTTAATTTTCACGATGCCTCCCTCGCATACATGACTGGCCTACGTTGATTGACAAAACGCATTCACTCTGATCACCTACACGCTTTCACGCAATCTTCTAACGTGTCCGACTCGCTCACTCACCCACGACAGGGAGGCAGCCCCGGCCGAATCGACAAAGAAGCATTAGCAAGCTTCGGAGGAACAACCTCTAGGGGGCGCTGCCAACAACAAATGTGCACGCGAACACATTGGATCGGTGGAATACTGCGGCCCTGCCCATCACATGCATGCACGACTCTACGCTCTACAGAGTGCTCGCGAATAAAATGCAAACAGGACTACGACGACAACCAATACACGTATTGCTATCACGGCCGCTACGCACGACTAACGTATATATACTAGCTGCATAGATGTGTACACACTGTGTTCGCTAGACACGAGATGCGAGGCCCCACGCCGCGAGCGTGCGCACCGAACATACCGCTGGAATTAGGCATAGTAGGGTGCATTCGGGCTCACGGCGTTGGCACTCGCGCCACCGGACATCCTGACGACGAACCACAGCATCGAAATAAAAAAACGTGACAGCAGCAGCGGCAGCGCTACAGTGTAATGGCTAACTGGACACATTATTGCTTACGCGTGTAGACACAATACCGCAGCATTACGCGCGGTCGACATAAAATCGCACCATTTGGCTGCGTCACGAGATCCGAGCGCGCCGTTTTCACACCCACATACCAGCAGTGGCCATGACGTTACACTGCAGTGGATGAGATAGCTTGCTCCTAGATCGTGGAAGATTCTGAACGCTTTAAGAGCAGAGAGTAATGGTAAATGCAAACAAGAACAGATTCTTCCCTCAGATGAAGAAAAGTACAACTAATGCGTGGTCATACTAAAGGTAACGATAGTCGTCTGAAGACTAGGGCGAAATTAACTCGGTAACAAAAGATAAACCGATGAGATTGCTTTCCCTGGTCGGAAAAAGGAGCTGCCTTTCATAGACACTAAAACATACGAGAGTGTCGAATGATCGCCAGCTCTCACCACCTGTGCAGGGGATAGCTGCTGCAAGTCTGTAGGAAATTGTACTTTCTCGATCGCATTCGCACTAGGGGTCACGACTGCCAATAACGATCACTCAGAACCGCCTGATCGAATTTACATCACCACAAAATTTAGTGTCCATAAGTTTATTCAAACGTGGTGGCGAATGTACTTTCTCTCTCTTCAAAGAAATGAGATCATTGACTCTCCATCTGGTTGTTGTAAATTTCTTGAGAGAAACAGAAATTTACTAGGCGTTTAAGAATGCATACATAAGAGCTCGCTCTAACCAATATGCACACCGAGATTTAAAAAACATCACATGACCTATAACCATGACTGCTCCATTCCAATTAATAAGTCCTTAATCCGATTACATAGCAACCTTCTTGGTGTGATACTATAAACATTTTTTCTAATTTCAAGTTATTGCTTAGTTTGTCAGGGATTTCCCATGGTGGACAATGCCATGTACATTGACACAGAAATTGAAACAGGTACCTATCATAGGTTACCATCCACAATTACTGAAACACAACACGCCAATTGCCCCGAAATTCGACCAAAACTAAAATACATCGATTCCCAAAAATCATAATTACATATTAAATAACGTCAAAGAATGCTCGACGAATGAAATGTTTGTAAAACATAATATCAATAGAACAAACAAAACGTGTATAAGTGAGGTTCTTCGATGAGATGGCAACTTTGTGGTTATAGGTGCGCAGTCACACAATGCCAGTCATGTACATTGCCACCAGACACCACAGCCAAACATAAACGACTAGATCACATTGAACCGTAAACTCAAACATAAAAAATAAACTGCTAATCTTCAGACTCTCTTCTCGCGAGACACCTTCCACTGCTCGGCATCACTAAATAATTATTGCGATCATCACAACTTGCATTCGGAATGTTACAATACAAATTTCCATTGGATGCACGTGGGAGAGAACATCTCCTGCACTGTGACAGTTTGGTGGTAACTTCTCTGCTCAGAGAAGATCGGCCATTTCGATTTACATTTTAGCACTGTACAGCAGAGAATATGCACCCACCACGAGCACCCACTATCGTACATTGGAACTTCAGCTGGGCACGCTTCGTTTAACAGTCACGCAGGCATCTGCGAGTGAAGTGTCAAACGGGCATGCCACGCCTCAGAAGTCAATAAATGGTACAACAAAATTCACAGCTCTCGGCAACCCAACTCCTAAGTAAATGACATCCTCAAGTGAATTCCGTTTGCCCTGTTCCTTTAGCCTAATATGCGGGTTGCTGATAGTTCCCCTCCCCGGCCCCTGCACCCCCACCCATTCCCCCCATCCCCCCACCCATGCCTCCCATACCACCACCCATTCCACCTGTGGTTCCGCCCATACCCCCACCCATCCCACCTGCTGTTCCACCCATACCCCCACCCATTCCACCAGCTGGTCTACTTCCGAAAGGTTGCTCTTGGTACGGAGTCTGGGAGTCACCTACACCGGGATAGGCAGAGGAGGCAGGTGCTGCCCCCTGCTGTGGGCTGGTGCCCCAGGCGTCCTGGTCGTACCCGGGCATGAAGGTGGCGCTGACTCCCTCGCGGAAACGCTTGACAGCGAAGAACGTCATTCCAGCCTGCAGGCGTAACAGCTCGCCATTATCAGGTCGCTCTATTGTTTACCCGCATACTTGAAAGTGCCAGATGGCTTCTGCTATTCGCTGCCATCCCACGCATACACTGAAACTCTATCATTTCTTACATTCTCTGAACTGAGTGCTTTCTCTTCGACAAATTACAAACTCTACTACTAGCACAACTAAGCAAAACATGTCTCGATTGTCACACAAAAAAGAACACATCTTCTATGCAAAGAACATTGCTTGAAATCCGATATATTGTGTAAAATATCAATTATGATATTACTTACCCAAGTAAATATGGAAAAGAAACAGAATGTTATTGCACCCTGCACACCATTCCGGCCAGATCCATCTCTTGGTAGGTTCTCCACAACGGAACGGCTCCAAGCGTTTGTCAGGTAACAGAAGCAGATGAACCACATGAAGGTCCACAGCCCTAAAACACAGTCAAACTTGGGTTAGCATTCTCCTGGATAAAACATACACCTGTATACAGTCGCACCCGAGTTAACAACAACCTCAACAGAGTATACACTATACACCCACAGGAAGTCACACCTATGTTAGCACGCATGTCTATAAAACATACACTTGTACACAGGCAAACCTGTATTTTAGTTCTTGAACTTTTTGCATTTACAACATGTATAGACTCTTTTTTGACCAGCCAGTGCAAATAGGATTTATAATAATCTAAAGTGGTAAAATTGACAAATCACTCCAGTATAAGCATAGGAGCATAGGAGCTATAGGACATGAAAACTACACATACAATCCACAGTGAGAAATATTTGCAAAGTACTGCTGATAAATATATTACTTTTATGTAATAATGTCTGTGAAGCGATTGCTTCAGATAGGGTTAATAAGGAATACATCTGGCAAGTACTGCTATGTAATAATTGCATGGAAATGATCATCAGAGATATAATTCCTTTGACAATTAATTGCTGTCTACCCATTTCTATCTGGTAAAATTTTTCGTTACAAATACAATGCATATCTCACAAGCCAGCATACAAATTTGCAATAAACTGAATTAGAAAATGCATACCAGAGATGCCCATGTCAGCAATTACAATGTGTTTCCTTGTCTTGATGCTGGACAGGTTTTCGAAGATCACGTCAGAGACAAGAAACAGTATGAGGCCGAGGAAAGCAATGACGCCAACCGCGACCCCGAAAGAACAGGCGTTTGAGTCATGGTTGTATTGACACCATGTGTAGCCTTCCTTATCTGTGTACCACGCCTGTGATGAGATGCAGCCAAACACGATGATGGAAAACAGCTGAAAATAGACGCAATGTGGATTGTTATGCCCTGTCAACCTACACTACAGGCTATAAAAACGTGTTGCAGTCAAAAGAGCTACCTTCCTTATAGCTCTAGTACTATAGCCCGCTTACATTAACTGCCGCTGGGCTATAGAACGACCCATAGGGCATGTGATGGACCAACTTATTCCCGATTATATCCGGCTATAAAACGTTCCTGGCTAAATAAGCAGTCGAAGGCAATAATGCCTCTTAATCCAAGTAAATATGTTTTAAGTTATAGCCCGCCTACTAAAATTGAACCTCTAAAGTTATCGTTGCAATGGTATACTTGCGGTATTTCTGTGAACAACATTCGATTTGCGAACTTCAAACGGCCATTTCTGGTGGCGCTGCAGCCAGCGCCAGTCAGCGGAACTATGTATTCGCACGTGAGAGGTGGCGGTGGTTGGGTGGTTGTTGACAAAAAACATTGTTGTTGTCAAGTAACAAATTAAGCGATCAAAGAGATTGTAATATTAGTTTGTCATGAAAGATGAACAAATTACTATTATTAATTTGTTACTTGACAACAACAATGTTTTTGTCCACAAACAACACAACCCGCCCACCCTCCACGTGCGAAATACATAGTTCCCGCTGACGCTGGAGTAAGTGGTCCCGAGCATTCGTAATGCTGATGCTATAGCCCAGCGGCAGTTAATGTAAGCGGGCTATAGTACTAGAGCTACCTTCCTTAGTACCTAGTCGAATCTGACTACGACTCGAGTATAGGTTGGTTTGTAACGCGAAAAACTATGTCGAAGAAGCAATGAAGTGAGCCTAAATTAACTGCAGCTGTTTCATATTTGGTCATGGCACCTCGTTTACAGTTTAGTCTAACGTTTAATCAATGACACTAAATGAAAATTACGTGCTGGCGGCGAAGGAAGGGCTATTCTATTTCTAAGCCTAACGCAGCGTGAAGAAGCCCTAACGAACGTTAACGAATTGTTACGTTCTGCATACCGTTCAATTCCTTTACAAACAATCGAATTTACAATTTTGAGCTAGCATATAAACTGATAGGTCAACTTACAACGATACTAGCCTCAGTATCACACGTGGCTTTTTTATACCCTAAGAGGGTCAATGCCTTGTATGGCTTTACCAGCTCCGTACGCCCGTCCGTCCATCTTTGGAAAATCAGTGCATCACGCGGATATGTAATCGATTCTCAGCTGACGTCAGGCGTATGCGCGTAGAGAAATCATCATGACAATCACGTGACTTTTAGCACAATATCTCTGGTATCCATGTACCCAGGTAGTCTCTGCTTAGTCTTTTTTTCGTGTTCAGTAATCTGTAATGTGTTTTTAATATTACTATCATGCAAGAATACTGTTGTGTGGTGTCGACTGACTATGATGCAAAATCAATTGCATAAAATTCGTTATAAAATACTTTGCCATATAATATACATCGCCATCAAATAAACTAAAAATGTCTAAATATAATTTGTCCTCCACACGCCTTTTCAGAGAATGGCAACTAAACTATATAAACCTTTTTTTGCTTTGAAGCCATCTATTTTTCATGTTATCCTCATCATATCACACATATGTATTATTGGTCCTAGTAACGATCGACACAATAAAAAAATGTTTTTTTACATGTTCGCCTCGGATATTTATGGACGTTCATCTTTGTAAAGCCATAATAGTAAAGCAAACTTTTCCAGCCATAAATTATAGGAAACAAATCTGTTTGACTGATTTCTATCCTCGTCTAAGTATTTTGAGATGTTTTGTCATACTTTTTCATTTATGCCTAGCTACTAGTACTAAAACTGGCAGACTTTTTCTGTAAATTGTAATCGCCAGTGTTGCTTCAAATTTTTAATCGACGTCAGACTATCTGCTTCTTTGTTATAGCCTAGTATTAGACAAGCAAGGATATTTCTACATTATGTTGAAATCTATGGTTTGCACGTAAAAGTTAAGAGTAGCCACCAGGTGGCAACGAAAGCATGTTAAACGCGTAACGCTCATTTCAATTGGTTAAATTCTTCTGCGGCTAATCCAATGTGATTTACCGATGTATAATGTTTAGGCTCTGTAGGTAAACATGGATTCTGGAGATAATGAATAAATGTTGTGGGATCCAGCAGCATTAATTTACATGGTTTGTTCAATAATTTCCTGGCTTGAAGTTATCACAGTGTTTACTCATCGATCTACCATGAAGAAGCATTTTATAAAAGTTAAGCATTTGCCGACAACGTTGGACGGTAAGTTTTATTATTTCTTTACTCCGTTGCTAGGCTTAGTCGTGCGTTATGTCGAACAATCCACAGCCTGTGCACAGGCACTTGGGCCGTTTCAATAATAAAAATGAGTGTTAATAAGCCTACAACTTGTCAGTACTAGACCTGGCAGTATTCATAGTTTGATTTGACCTAATAACTTCACTTCAATACCGTCCAAACACCGCTGCCAAGACACATTCCTATAGCGCGCACGCCATTGGCATTGGCATTGTGCACAAATACACAGTAGAGATAGAGTGACACAGTACTCAGTAGGGTACACAGTAGGATACAGTAGGTAGTAGGGAGACTCTATCCTACTGTGTATTTGTGCACGCTATAGGAATGTGTGTTGCGAGCGTGTATTGGAGCGTATTGATTCTCGAAGTGAAGTTATTAGGTCAAATCAAACTATGAATACTGCCAGGTCTAGTACTGACAAGTTGTAGGCTTATTAACCATCATTTTATTATTGAAACGGCCCAAGTGCCTGTGGAACAATCTTTATAAATACACTCATAAATTATGGCGCATAATCTTGGGAAGTGTAAACAACCGGATCCGGTGTCGGAGTCCTGAAAACTAAACAACGGCTCTCTTCCTGCTATTGGCTAATTTGGTCACTTAATTTATTTTATTTTTATATATTTGGCTAATTTTATTATATTTAGAATTAGGATAGGGTTAGGGTTAGCGTTAGGGTTAGGTCTATATCCAAAAGTTTGAAGATTGAAGATTGAAGATTGAAAAACAGTTTATTTGTGCATAAGACATACATAAATACAGAAGTACATCGTTATAAAAAGAAATAATTACATGTAGAAGTACAATTTTAATCAGTTTAAGCACCGGGAGTGGCGAAGACACTTAAGTCATCTAGTCTGCCACCCCCTAGAGTAGATTTAAACGTAAAGCAGCCGCCTGAATAACATAAGGTAATGAAGAAAGCAGTAAAGCAAGCAGTTTATAAATCAAAGGAGAAAAAGTGTAGGAAACAAATATGTAATGAACAAAAATACAAGTAATATAGAATGAGCAAGAAGATACTGTACACTTTAAGGATTATGCAAGATCATCAAGTTAAAATATCAACAACTCAACATAAATTGATCAAATTAATAACATAAAATCAATAGCAGGAACGAAGCAATATTTCGTAGAAAAAACAAACAAAAAGACTTTTTCAGATATATATGTAAGCATAGCAAAATTATCACAGTAGATGCATTATTATTAAATCCATAATAAAGGAAATCATATATGTACAGGAAGGTTTGCGTACAAAAATACGTAGGTTAGTGAAAAAAACACGTGACAAAAATAAATAAATAATTAATATAAAAATTATATAACAATATAAATAAACAAATCAGTGAAAATGATAACTTAATTACTGAGAGCACAATAACCACATCACAGTCACTGTACAAATACAGGTGACTCCAGTCTAGATAATAATATGGAGACAAGACAAAAAACAATTTGCGATTTAGATGTTTATCGTTAAATCGTTAAAACGAATTTTATGGTTTATATAATAATATAAATAAACAAATCAGTGAAAAGGATCCACTAGGTGTTACACGTAGTGTTGTAATAAAACTATTTCTATAAGCGAATTTGAACCTTGAGAAGGGTAGGTTTTAGCCTCATCTGACATAGTCAGATGCAGCTTGTAGAATTGCATGAGCGTGCGGCCGTCTGTCCGCTCGTGCGTGCGGTGCCGGGTGGCGTCCGTCAACAGTTGGGCACAAATCTAAAACGGCTCGACGTATGGATTCGAAAGTCGGGACGTGGGGCGGTAATCCGAAAACGATGGGAGTCGCAGCTGGGGGGTCAAAGGTCAAAGGTCAAGAGGTGTAAATGAAGGGGAATATTCCCTCCTTAACAAGGTATAAGAGGAAATGCAGAATTGCGGCACAAATCTAAACGGCTCGACTAGGCTCGTGATAGTCGGTTTACAGTCATCATGTAGGAAAAAGCCACCACTGTTCCGAAAATTGGAGGTCACCAGGTCAAAGGTCAATGGGGCACAGGGCAGATTTTAGACATTTTCTGCAGGACATCGTCTGATGGAGCGATTGAAAAACTTTTTGCTTCAGCGGGGACCTAGCATTTTTATGGCTTTATTGAAAGGACCATGAAATGTTATTTCTGCTGACATGCGAAGAGTAAGTGTCAATAACCTTTGACCCTCAAGAGCGCCGGGCTGTGTAAGACAGGATTTTTACGTTAAGAAAGAATTTGACTGCCGCGGTTTGCTGGTAGAATCTATACATGCCTGATGTATGAGGCTACAATGTCACAGTGAAAGTTTAAAAGGCTAAATTTGGTTGAAGAAGGCTTATGGTCCCGAAACGTATAATTTCTATGGCATTCTGTACTGTCAGTGTGTTACATGTAACTTATGCCATATGCCACTGCCAGTGCATGTGGTGGTGGTACTGTGTAGTTTTTGCCTGCGTTAATTAGTTACAGGTGGCAGCTCTCTATTTCAGCCTGTAGGCTTGCGTAGGTAAATGGATGAGTGCTTACCTATTCTGTCTTGCAAATAGTTGTTGCTACTACGTACGATGGGAGCTTCCATCTTTAATCTGAAGACACTTAAATGTACGCGCCATCTCGTGGCAACTTTCATAACGATCCCAGCGAACATTTCTTTGAGAAGGTTACTGATACCATCCCTGTGCCTTCCACTGTTTCGACGTGTATGTGAACACATTTGGGACTAACAGGGTTTACTAGAATCCCACCACTCCACCACAGAGTCACCGCAGTAGACGTTAGATGAGCGCTGTCGCTCCGCGGCACTTGTTACATATGTTGTAATAACATGAAAATCAATCCGTTGATTTTTTATAGGGATTCATGTATAGAAAAAACCTATATATCCATAATATAACATCTAAACAAGTCGAGCACTTGTATGCAGTGTGCGACATGTGGGTATGACCTTGATGTGTTACCACTAAATTATTTTATAGTTTATATTTCTCAAACAAGAAATCTTGGGAATGAACTAATGAGTTTGAATCACACGTTAGTCAATAATTCAAGCATTCTACTACAGTTAGTTGCTCATTTGGGGGTGTGACTGTGAGGCACACTCACCACACTCAAGGCCACCCACTCCTCAAAAGTTAAAAGTAGAAACTATCTGGCTGTTCAAATATTATCAGGAGTAAGATAATATAGGTTGCCCCTCCTGATATTATCTGGTTAATTTATTGATTTGATTGCTTATGAATATTTAAGTGGCAAGGTGATTGTGAGGTTGTCTACCGGTATCACAGTTCATAGCTATAGCTGGAAGTAACTAACTAGTTATAGTGCTCAAGCACCTGTTATCTGCTTTTATTTGATGTTCTAAAACAGTTTGGGTCGCATGCTTCCTGGGTGTGAACATGGAAACTGGGTGGCACTCGTTTCCTCATCAAGAAGTTCATAGCTGCTTGCATATCCTATAGGTGTAACCTCTGTACATCATGCGCTTGGCTAGATGACCCATCGGCATGTTCTCGTTTTTCATACTATAACAGAAACTTGGTAATGTCTTGCGAACTGGATGTTTTATATCTGGAAAATAATATTTAAACTGTTTAGCTGCATGTGTTCAAGAGTCCATAATAGAGATCTCTGTTACTGATCGGTGTATCGGTTACTGATGTAAGTCTACACTGATGTAAACTATAGAGGCCAGTTTAGACATGCTGGTGTACGTTACAAATGTGGCTAATGTGCATTTCTAGTTTGAACATTCTCCAACATTCTTTGTTGTACTCCATGGCCACCTGTGCTGGTAATTAATCATTTATTGATAAGGCCATCGATTTTTTACGTGTATGCTTGTTCCGAGATCAGTCAAGTAATTCATCACGGGGATAAATCAATTTAATTTTTTTTCAAACTCGTGTCTTTGATGTCTATGCATTAGCCGCGTCTGCTCTTGGGACTGAAAATTCATACTCACACTGAAAAACTGAAAATTGAGTTGCGATATTTTGTTTTGTGTTGATACACGAAACAGTGGTTGCATATCAATATCGGTGTGTGTGCGTGCGTGCGTGCGTGCGTGCGTGCGTGTGTGTGTGTGTATGGAGCTCAAGACTGCAGTACGTGCCTACAGTAAGTATATATAGTACTTAAGGTCACTTAAGTTACTTAGTGTACGCCCACAGCAGTGTTATCAAGGGAAAAACCGATATTCTTCAGTGTTAACCGGCGGGCAACTACACATGCAGTAAATCGTAGTAAGAAACGAGCTTCGCCTTGAGGCGGTTTCACGGCTGGAACTTTCATAATGCCTATTAATGAAAATGTACACAACCCGGGAGCTGTCGTTGCACGGCGGCAACGTAACAGGTTGCTGCGTCTCCTTGACCTTGCAGACGACAGTAGTTTTACCGCCTGGCATTCGCGTGCAAATTCAGAGTAGATGGTCCTGATGGACTACCCCGCCAATCTCAGTTTACAGTAAATATTTCGACTCTCATCATCCTTATAGGGTCTGTATGATCTTGATGTCGTAACAGTGTTTGTTTAAACGTTTTTTCAAATACCGTTTTTAGAGACTGAGTGCAAGGTGCTGGAATGTATTTGAACAAACGAGGAAACCAAATAGAACGAAAGAACGAATCGAAATCTGTTAGGCCGAATGACGTCACTACACGAACTATCACTATGTGAAATTGCATGCGTTCGTTGCTCTTATAGAGAGTCAAGGTGGCGTTTGTGTTTTTGCTAGAACAAAAGCTTTGTCCACGGTTTACTCGTGAGACTAAATCTGTTGGGGGAAAAACTTTCGCTAAGTGTGCTCTAATTTCTTAGCATCAAACTTTGTCATGCCGGATGTCTATACTGACTGACACACATTCCGATAGAATGTTGCTAGGATGCGATTGCGTTATGCGCCACGCAGAGTTCACTCTTTACACACGATTGCCTCTTCTGTAGAGACTTAATTTCATTTCAAAATCGCTCCTCAGAAGTGTGCGCGCACGTGAAAGCGAGCGTGTTCGGTGACCCACTTACATACGCGTACCTGTTCGATAGAATCAACAGGAGATGTCGGCGTTACGTCTATTTAGAGAAAGATTTAACTTTTGCACGACGTAGTTATGTAACACAGGCGACAGAACTTTATGTAGGTGATTTTAGAAATCCCGCATTTATAGCTGAAAGGGTAGAACCCGCACGGTGCTAATATTCTTCATACTTGCGAACTAACGATGGGCAGATTTATGGAGTATTCATAGTGAATTCATATTAATACTAGTAGTAATAATAATAAAAACAACAACATAAGTGTAGGCGCCCCCATACTGCGCCGCCATACTGGACGTCATAAAGTGTATTTGCACCGTCTAACGTTTAATCAATGACACTAAATGAAAATTACGTGCTGGGCGAAGGAAGGGCTATTCTATTTCTAAGCCTAACCGAGCGTGAAGAAGCCCTAACGAACGGTTAACGAATTGTTTACGTTCTGCATACCGGTTCAATTCCTTTACAAACAATCGAATTTTACAATTTTGAGCTAGCATATAAACTGATAGGTCAACTTACCAACGATACTAGCCTCAGTATCACACGTGGCTTTTTTATAACCCTAAGAGGGTCAATGCCTTGTATGGCTTTACCAGCTCCGTACGCCCGTCCGTCCATCTTTGGAAAATCAGTGCATCACGGGATATGTAATCGATTCTCAGCTGACGTCAGGCGTATGCGCGTAGAGAAATCATCATGACAATCACGTGACTTTTAGCACAATATCTCTGGTATCCATGTTACCCAGGTAGTCTCTGCTTAGTCTTTTTCGTGTTCCAGTAATCTGTAGATGTGTTTTTAATATTACTATCATGCAAGAATACTGTTGTGTGGTGTCGACGTGACTATGATGCAAAATCAATTGCATAAAATTCGTTATAAAATACTTTGCCATATAATATACATCGCCATCAAATAAACTAAAAATGTCTAAATATAATTTGTCCTCACACGCCTTTTCAGAGAATGGCAACTAAACTATATAAACCTTTTTTTGCTTTGAAGCCATCTTATTTTCATGTTATCCTCATCATATCACACATATGTATTATTGGTCCTAGTAACGATCGACACAATAAAAAAATGTTTTTTTACATGTTCGCCTCGGATATTTATGGACGTTTATCTTTGTAAAGCCATAATAGTAAAGCAAACTTTTCCAGCCATAAATTATAGGAACAAATCTGTTTGACTGATTTCTATCCTCGTCTAAGTATTGTTGAGATGTTTTGTCATACTGTTTCATTTATGCCTAGCTACTAGTACTAAAACTGGCAGACTTTTTCTGTAAATTGTAATCCGCAGTGTTGCTTCAAATTTTTAATCGACGTCAGACTATCTGCTTCTTTGTTATAGCCTAGTATTAGACAAGCAAGGATATTCTACATTATGTTGAAATCTATGGTTTGCACGTAAAAGTTAAGAGTAGCCACCAGGTGGCAACGAAAGCATGTTAAACGCGTAACGCTCATTTCAATTGGTTAAATTCTTCTGCGGCTAATCCAATGTGATTTACCGATGTATAATGTTTAGGCTCTGTAGGTAAACATGGATTCTGGAGATAATGAATAATGTTGTGGGATCCAGCAGCATTAATTTAACATGGTTTGTTCAATAATTTCCTGGCTTTGAAGTTATTTCACAGTGTTTACTCATCGATCTACCATGAAGAAGCATTTTATAAAAGTTAAGCAGTTTGCCGACAACGTTGGACGGTAAGTTTTATTATTTCTTTACTCCGTTGCTAGGCTTAGTCGTGCGTTATGTCGAACAATCCACAGCCTGTGGCACAGGCACTTGGGCCGTTTCAATAATAAAATGATGGTTAATAAGCCTACAACTTGTCAGTACTAGACCTGGCAGTATTCATAGTTTGATTTGACCTAATAACTTCACTTCAATACCGTCCAATACACCGCTGCAAGACACATTCCTATAGCGCGCACGCCATTGGCATTGGCATTGTGCACAAATACACAGTAGGATAGAGTGACACAGTACTCAGTAGGGTACACAGTAGGATACAGTAGGTAGTAGGGAGACTCTATCCTACTGTGTATTTGTGCACGCTATAGGAATGTGTGTTGCAGCGGTGTATTGGACGGTATTGATTCTCGAAGTGAAGTTATTAGGTCAAATCAAACTATGAATACTGCCAGGTCTAGTACTGACAAGTTGTAGGCTTATTAACCATCATTTTATTATTGAAACGGCCCAAGTGCCTGTGGAACAATCTTTATAAATACACTCATAAATTATGGCGGCATAATCTTGGGAAGTGTAAACAACCGGATCCGGTGTCGGAGTCCTGAAAACTAAACAACCGGCTCTCTTCTCTGATTGGCTAATTTTGTCACTTATTTATTTTATTTTTTATTATTTTTGGCTAATTTTATTATATTTTAGAATTAGGGATAGGGTTAGGGTTAGCGTTAGGGTTAGGGTCTATATCCAAAAGTTTGAAGATTGAAGATTGAAGATTGAAAACAGTTTATTTGTGCATAAGACATACATAAATACAGAGTACATCGTTATAAAAGAAATAATTACATGTAGAAGTACAATTTTAATCAGTTTAAGCACGGGAGTGGCGAAGGACACTTAAGTCATCTAGTCTGCCACCCCCTAGAGTAGATTAAACGTAAAGCAGCCGCTGAATAACATAATGGTAATGAAGAAGCAGTAAAGCAAGCAGTTTATAAATCAAAGGAGAAAAAGTGTAGGAAACAAATATGTAATGAACAAAATATACAATGAATATAGAATGAGCAAGAAGATACTGTACACTTTAAGGATTATGCAAGATCATCAAGTTAAAATATCAACAACTCAACATAAATTGATCAAATTAATAACATAAAATCAATAGCAGGAACGAAGCAATATTGCGTAGGACAAAACAAAACAAAAGACTTTTTCACATATATATGTAAGCATAGCGAAATTATCACAGTAGATGCATTATTATTAAATCCATAATAAAGGAAATCATATATGTACAAAAAGGTTTGCGTACAGAAATACGTAGGTTAGTGAAAACAAAAAACAAACACGTGACAAAAATAAATAAATAATTAATACAAAAATTATATAACAATATAAATAAACAAATCCGTGAAAATGATAACTTAATCACTGAGAGCACAATAACCACATCACAGTCACTGTACAAATACCGGTTGACTCCAGTCTAGATAATATATGGAGACAAGACAAAAAACAATTTGTACGATTAACGATGTATCGTAAAGTCTCGTAAAACGAATTTAGGCGTTTAATATAAAATAAATAACAAAATCAGTGAAAGATCCACTATGTGTACACGATAGGTTGTAAAAATATTTCTTAAAGCGAATTTGAACCGCTGAAAGGGTCGTTGTAGCCACGACATATCAAGATGCAGCTTGTAGAAGCATGACGGCGTCCGTCTGTCCGTCCGTGCTGCGTGCGTCCGTCAACAGTTGGCACAAAACAAACGCCGACGTATGGATCGAAGAGCGGACTGGGGGAATCCGAAAACGAGTTGGGATGTCCAGCTGGGAGGTCAAAGTCAAAGCAAGAGTTAAATGAAGGGAAATACCCTCTAAACCAAAGGTCCACCACACGCAGCCAAATGCAGATTGCCGCCACCCAAATCTCACAACGTCCGACCTAGGCTCGAAAGTCCGGTACAGCATCCATGTAGAAAAAGCCAGACCACGGCCGAAATGGAGTCACAGGTCAAAGTCCAAGGGCACAGGCAGATTTAGACATTATCGAGGAACATGCTCTGATCGACGCGATTGAAAAACGTTTTCTTCACGCGGTGACCGCTAGCCATTCATCCGGCTATCTGAAAGGACCATAAATGTTACTTTCTGCTGACATACGAGCCAGTAAGTCGTCAACATAACCTCTGGACCCTCAAACGGAGGCGTCAAACATGCACTGTCGTACTGTAGACAAGAATTGACTGCCGCTTCGCCATAATAGCAATCTATCACACTGCTCGACTGTACAGGCGCACAATCACAGTGAAATTTTAAAAGACTAAATTGTGAAGAAGGTGCTACGTTCCCGAAATCGTAAATTCTATGCATGCGTATGTCAAGCTGGTACATGTAAGCGTCGCGCACGCCAGTGAGTGCAGTGGTGGGTCGGATGTTGCCTGCTTTAATCTAGTTACAGTGGCGCATTCTCTATTCGAGCTGTAGCTTGCGTAGGGTAAATGATTACATGCTCTACGCTATTGTCTGCAAATAGTGTTGCTACTACTACCCCCACGATGGAGGCTCCATCTTAATCGAAGACACTAAATTACGCGCCATCGTGCAACTTGCATACGATCCACGAACAATTCTTTGAGAAGGTACGATACCATCCCTGTGCTATCCACTGTTTCAACTTATCGTAACAACATTGGACCTAACAGGGTTTACTAGAACCCACCAACTCCACACAGATCACCGCAATAACGTAATAAGCGCTGTCGCTCCGCGCAGCTTGTTACATATGGTAAAACATAAAAATCATCCGTATTTATAGATTCATGTATAGAAAAAACCAATATCCAAAATAAACATCTAAACAAGTTCGAGCAACTGTATGCAGGTGCGACATGGGTAGACCGAGGTTACCACAAATTTATTTATAGTTTATATCTTCTCAAACAACGAACTGGAATAACATATGACATTGAATCACACTTAGTTCAAAAATTCCAAGCATTCTACTACAGTTATTGCTCATTTGGGGGTGTGACTGGAGGCACACTACACCACACATCAGCCACCACCTCATAAAGTAAAAGTAGCAACTATCTGCTGTCAAAATATTATCAGGAGTAAGATAAAAAAGGTTCCTCCTGAGATATCTGGTTAATTATTGATGATGCTTATGAAACTTAAGTGTCAAAGGAGATGGAGGTTGTCGACCGTACAACATTCATAGCTATAGCGAAGTAACAATAGTTATAGGCTCAAACACCTGTTATCCTGCATTTACATTTGATTTCAAAACAGTTTGGTCGCATGCTTCCTGGTTGAACAGAAACTGGGTGGCACTCGTTTCCCATCAAGAAGTCATAGCGCTTCATATCCTATAGTGTTAACCTCGACATCATGCGCTTTGGCTCAGAACCCATCGCATGTTCTCGTTTTCATAACTATAACAGAAACTTGAAATGTCGGCGAACGATTTAATCGAAAAATAGTCAACGTTAGAAATGCATTGTCAAATCCAAATAAGAATCGGTACGATCCGTGATACGTACGATAAGCACACTAGAAACAAGAGGCCAGATTAGACATGCTGGTACGACAAATGTGCTAAGTGCAATTCTAATGTTAACATCCCAACATTCTTGTGTAACTCCATGGCCACCTGTGCTGGTAATTAATCATTATTAAAGCCACGATTTTTACGTGATGCTTGTTCGAATCAGTCAAGTAATCATCACGGGATAAATCAATTAATTTTTTCAAACTCGTGCTTGAGTCTAGCAGACCCGCAGTCTGCTCATTGGGAACTGAAAATCATACTCACACGAAAAACGAAAAATGAGTTGCGATATTGTTTGTTTGAACACAAACAGTTGCATACAATACGGGTGTCGTGCGTGCGTGCGGCGTTCGTGCGTGTTGTGTGTGTTAGGAGCTCAGACTGCAGTACGTGCCTACAGTAAGTATATATGGTACTTAAGCACTAAAAGTACTTAGTGACCCCACACAAGTTTACAAGAAAAACGATATTCTCAGGTTAACCGCGGCAACTACACATGCATAAATCGTATAAGAAACGACGCTTCGCCTCAGGCGGTCACGGCGGAACTTTCATAAAGCCTATTAATGAAAATGTACTACAACCCGTAGCTGTCGTTCCACACGGCGCAACGTAACAGTGCTGCGTTCCTGACCTGCAGACCACAGTATTTTACCGCCTGGCAATTCGCGGCAAAATTCCAGAGAAGGACGATGGACTTACACCGCCAATCCGTTTAACAGTAATACGACTCTCATCATCCTATAAGGGTCATGTAGAAATCTGATGTCGATAAACAGGTTTGGTAAACGTTTTTCAAAACCGTTAGAGACCGAGTGCAAGGTGCTGAATGTACTGAACAAACGAAGGAAACCAATAGAACGAAAAGGAACGAACGAAATCTTAGGCGAATTACTCACACACGAACTATCACTATTGAAATTGCCAATCGTGCGTGCATCTTATAGAGAAAGTCAAGTGCGTTGTTTTTGACTAGAACAAAACTTGTCCACGTTTACTCGAGGGGGGCGGGGGAGAACTAAAATTGTGTGGGAAAAAACTTTCGCTAAATGTGCTCTACTCTAGCCATCAAACTTGTCAGCCGGAGCATACTGGAACTGACAACTCCCAATCCGATAGAAGTTGCAGGATGCAAAAAGCTATCGCACGCAGATTCACTCTTACACACGATTGCTCTCTAGAGACTAATCATTTCAAAACGCTCCCAGAATGGCGCGCACGGAAAGCGAGCGGTCGGTGACTCCACGTTACATACGACGAGCTGTTCATAAGAATCAACAGGAGACGTCGGCGTTACGCTAATTAGAGAAAGATTTAACTTTTGCACGACGTATATGTAACACAGGCGACAGAACGTTATGTAGGTGATTTAGAAATCCGCATTAATACGTTGAAAGGGTAGAACCCGCACGTGCAATACTCATGACTTCGAACTAAACAGGCAGATTTAAGGTAT